GAGTGATCGGTATCAGTCACTCATTGTGTTCATTCAGAAAATGAAGGAGATAGTAAATGTAACATATTTACTGGACCTTTTCTTCTCTCTCCAACCTGAAGGATCCTATTGTGTGCTTGCAGATGCCGGTGGGAAGGAGAGCAGGGTACAGACAGGAAAGCAGGGAAGCTGGCAGCACGGCGGGAGTGGGTGCACACAGAGGGCCTGGGCAGCAGAGGAAGATGTATGGTGCACAGGGAGGGTGATGGGTGCGGTGGAGGGAAAAGTTCTGGAACCGATCCCCTGTATGGCTCTCCCTGCAGCAGCTAAAAGCCAGAGGGAGGGAGAGGAGAAGAAGCCGGCTTTCAGCTGCTGCAGGGAGAGCCATACAGGGGATCGGTTCCAGTAACTGCCCCCCCTGCCATGCCGATCACCCTCCCTACCCACATCTGATTCACCCAGCTGCTTGGGCCCCTCTGCTGTCCTGGGCCCCATACAGGAGGACAGGTGGTACCCCCTTATCCATGGTCTTGCAGACAGGCAGTAGCGGTTCAGAGAGGGAGGCTCTGTTTAGCTCCTTCTTGGCTCCGGTAACATGCCACAGCCAAGGGAGGACTTCCATTCTCTCAGCTCACTCTGAACTGCCTGGTCTGGTGGGTGTATTTCATGGTGGGGGGAGATCTGTACTGGGGAGAGATAAGTGGGGAGGGTATGCTGGGATATTTAGTCCTCCCAATGTATGATTTACTGGGGGAATGTTGTCAGTAACATGGAATGAGCCCCATGATGGGTGCACAGCCCTGAAGTTGTCCTCCTATTATACCTGTGCACACAGCGCTCTGCTTTTTAATTGCTTTTAGTTTTTGTCTCTCGTACCGGCAGGTTTGAGCCCCCGCAGTACATTCAGATCTTCCTCCTCTGGCAGGAGCTCAGCGAATATGGAGACATCAGACCAGACCAATGGGATGACGGAGAACTGCATAGAGCACCCGGGTACAACATGGAGGTGTATGTGCATCAGGATGATACGGCAGGTGTGTGTCTGTCCGCATACTACAGTGTACAGCTGACAACATTGTAACAATCGTCACTACTTTATGCATCTTTTATTTTGTTAAAGCCGAAATGTGGGAAATTTAAAATTTCACCCTTGAGCTATGTTTGAACTGGTTTTACCACCCCACCCAGGCCGTCCACCTGAACACCATATAAAAAAGTAATTTTAACATATATTTGTAAATGCATTCCAAAAATGTATTTTTAAAGACATACAGTATATTTGAAAATGTAATTTAAAACATTTTTTCATATATAAAAAATGCATTTCAACATACAGTTGTGTTCAAAATAACAGCAGTGTGTTGAAAAAAGTGAATAAAGCTGAAAATCCTTCTAATAGCTTTTATTTTCCATCCACACAAATGCATTGGGAACACGACACATTCTATTCCAAATCAAAACATGAAGAAAAATACATCAAATTTGTGTTGTTCCTCTAAAAAAATTGGAAGAAAAGTGAATATTAGACGGTTCAAAAAAATGGCCGTGTTTGTATTCTTCTTTACAAACTCAAACATTCACTATATAAACTGAGAAATGTTTGAAGATTTTGCTTTCCTTTGAATGACTTCATGAATATTTGGTTGTAGTCGCACTGTTTCTGAGAACTGCTGTACATCTGTGTTGCATGGAGTCCCCCAACTTCTGGCCCCTGTGATCAGGTATTCCAGCCCAGGATGATTGGACCACATTCCACAGTTCTTCTCTATTTCTTGGTTTTGCCTCAGAAACGGCATTTTTGATGTCACCCCACAAGTTTTCTATTGGATGAAGATCCGGGGATTGGGCGGGCCACTCCATAACGTCCATCTTGTTGGTCTGGAACCAAGATGTTGCACGTTTACTGGTGTGTTTGGGGTCGTTGTCTTGTTGGAACACCCATTTCAAGGGCATTTCTTCTTCAGCATAAGGCAGCATGACCTCTTCAAGTATTCTGATGTATTCAAACTGATCCATGATCCCTGGTATGCGATAAATAGGCCCAACACCGTAGTATGAGAAACATCCCCATATCATGATGCTTGCACCACCATGCTTCACTGTCTTCACAGTGTACTGTGGCTTGAATTCAGTGTTTGGGGGTCGTCTGACAAACTGTCTCCGCCCACTAGACCCAAAAAGAACAATCTTACTTCCATCAGCCCACAAAATGTTGCGCCATTTCTCTTTTTAGGCCAGTCAATGTGCTCTTTGGCAGATTGTAACCTCTTCAGCACGTCTTTTTCCCAACAGTGGGACTTTGCGGGGACTTCTTGCAGATAGCTTGGCTTCACATAGGCGTCTTCTAATTGTAACAGTCCTCACAGGGAACGTCACACCTTCTTTCATCTTCCTGGAGCTGATTTGGCTGAGTCCGCCCCATTTTGGCTATTCTTCTATCCATTCCAATGGTAGTTTTTCGCTTTCTTCCACGTCTTTCAGGTTTTGGTTGCCATTTTAAAGCATTTGCCATCATTTTAGCTGAGCAGCCGATCATTTTCTGCACTTCTTTATATGTTTTCCCCTCTCCAATCAACTTTTTATTCAAGGTACGCTGTTCTTCTGAACAATGTCTGGAACGACCCATTTTCCTCAGAATTTCAGAAAGAAATGCACTGTAACCAGCATGTCCAACATTTGCTGCCTTCCTTCCTTAAATAAGGGCAATCATTGCCACCTGTTTTTCAAAGAATGAATGACCTCACTAATAGAACTCCACACTGCTATTATTTTGAACACGCCCCTTTCAATGAGTGATTCAATGACACAGAATCAGCAGCATGCATGTCATGACTGTTGGGTCTGTTGGATTTCTATTACTCTACTACACCTGCTAGGAAATTATTTGCCATGTAGAAATATCATTTCTACCAAAAACAGTGATTGATCCGGTTAGTGATGTCTGACTGCTATTATTTTGAACACAACTGTATATATATATATATATATTATATGTATATATGTATGTTGAAAATGCATTTTTTATATATATGAAAAAAAATTTTAATTACATTTTCAAATATACTGTATGTCTTTAAAAATAAATTTTTGGAATGCACTTACAAATATATGTAAAAATATATGTTAAAATTACTTTTTTATATGTTACAAAAAAATCTGCAGAATATATTTAAAAAAATATATTTTTAAAAATATTTTTCAGATATTTTGAAATATATAAAAAAAATGCATTTCAACATACAGTGTATATATATTATATATATATATATATATATATATATATATATATATATATATATAAATATACTGAAAAATATTTTGCAATATATTGAATACGGTTAAAATTGTAGTATTTCAAATACATGTCAATATATCTGGGAAGAATATTTTAAAAATATATTTAAAATATATTTTTCTTCCATGTGGGGTATCCACACTCCTGGAAGAGTTGGTTTCCCAGCAGATATTGGGGGATGATTCCTCACACGTTGGGCAGCGCGGGAAGTAGAAGAGGTTATTTTACCTCCTTCTTTCCTGGTATCGTCTTTATTTTAATTTGATGAGTGCACTTTAACCTCTTTATATCTTCCAGGTTGTGGCCCTGGAGGGCGGTCAGGTGCGGCACCGGCCCGGACACATGTGACCCCGGAGCAGATCCAGTCGTCAGATTTTTGGTCGATGTACCGTCTGGTGCTGACGGCACTGTGTGACCCCTGGCTGCGGTTCCTGAGCTATGACATCGCCACATTCCTGAAGTAAGTATGCATGCAATGGTACAGAATGATTCCTCCCCATGACACTTAAAGTGGTATTAAAGGAAAGTAAAGAAAAAAAAAAAAACATGTCATACTTACTTACTGCTCTGTGTAATGGTTTTGCACAGATCAGCCCTGAGCCTCCTCTGCTGGGGTCCCCCACTGGCACTCCTGGCCCCTTCCTCCTGCTGAGTGCCTACAGAGCAAGGAGTTTGCTATGGGGGACCCAGGCAGGCTCGCTCCTGAGCTGCTGCTCTGCCTGTCCTTTCACACACAGAGCAGCGGCTTTGCCAACAAACCCTCCCTCTCCTCATTGGCTCACTGGGAGAAGAGAAGAGACGGTGCTGTGATATTTTCAGGAACCTGTGTACAGCACTCTGCTGGCCCCTCCCACCAGCCATTATCTGCCTGCATTGCACAGAGAAGCACAGAGATCCAATGATGATATCCATGTGGCTAAAATAAGGTATGTATACAAAAACAGAAAATATTTTTGTTTTTAAATATCGTTAGCATGTTAATTGAGGGAAGGGGGAACTAGGGAAAGTCAAATAGAAGCAGATTAAACTTCAGCTTTACATTATCAAAGTTTTAAGCTTTCTGAGGAAAGGATAAAAGGTCCAAAAGCTTGAGTCCTTAAAGTGGAGTTCCTGCACCCATCACCTCCCAAGAAAAAAAGTTAAAAGTCATCAGCTACAAATACTGTGGCTGCTGACTTTCAGTTGTAGGGCATTTCCCTGTCTAGGCATTGAACGGTATCCTCACCCTGAGCCGATTCTTCAATCGGCTGCCGGGGTACTGGCGATGCCATCTTGACTAAGGGAAACCAGCAGTGAAACCTTGTGGCTTCACCACCATTTCCTACTACGCATGTGCGAAGCTCGCTGATCTTTGTCAATCGGCTGCAGTCCTCTGGGACCTGTGAAGTGTCCCAGAGGGCTGCAGGGGGATGCTGAACTTCCGGCTCAATTGGCCACAGCAAACTGAGCTGGACGTGGGAGCGAGTACCTGTCAAAACCAGGCACCTGCTCCCCCATCCTTTCAAAAGGTGCCAAATGAGGCAGCGGAGGGGGGGGGGAGGCAGAACAGCAGAGCTGCCACTTTTGGGTGGAACGCCACTTTAATATCTTAAAGTAGAGCTGAAGGCAAAACTTTTTTTTTTGGATAGAGTAAGATCGGTCAGTTTTTTTTTTTTTTTTTGGCATTCATGTCCCATTTGGTAGATTTTCTTTCACTTTATGATACATAAACTAAACAAAACGTTTTAAAGGTACTCAAATGGACAAAACACTGAACACAGGATGTTCCTAACCAAGCTCGTCACACATTGTAATGACCAATTCACACCTCAGACCTCTCCCACCCTTGGAAACAAAAGATATGTTAATGACCATTCACACCTCAGATTCCTCATGAAGACCCCCTGCCAGGTGACCTTAATGACTCCCCCACCAGACACCTTCCCACCCTTGGAAACAAAAGATATGTTAATGACCATTCACACCTCAAATTCCTCATGTAGACCCCCTGCCAGGTGACCTTAATGACCCCCTCCACCAGACACCTTTCCCACCCTTGGAAACAAAATAAATGTTAATGAGCAACTCACACCTAAGCTAATCTCAACACATACTGCTGTCTCTGCTTCTACTCTCTGTATTTCTCTGACACAGTCTGAAATAGTTAATAATTTACCACCTTTTAGTGCATTCTGGGCATTTGGGAGGTTCTCCTGTGCTTATCTTTAAAAAACACTTCTAAACGCAAACGCGCATAAACGTGTTATGCAAATGCGGCTAAACAGACGTTGTTTAACCTAAAGCAGTCAGCAGTCAGTTTCCATCGTTCAGATGTGTCCCGTGTACATGGAGCCTAACAGCCCAGGTTCATTAATTGGTGATGGGGGCATCTAGTGGCCAAACTGGGGAACACCAGATGTCTGACCCTTCAGGACCTTCATGGCAGGATCACCACAGATTGTGTTTGGCAGCTGCTGATTCAAAAAGGTTGTAAACAGCTCTTGGACTGGCATTAACATCTGCAGGGACTTTACCTTAACATGAAGTGTCCCCAATCTAAATTTAGTACTTGCAGCTAGACGGTAGCCAGCTTGAGCTTTGTTTGTGTTATCTGTGTTCATTGGGTTTCTCCTAAAATCAAGAAGATAGAGTGCTTCTGCTCATTGCTGTTGGGTGTTCTCCAGTGGGTCAAGAGATGCTACAATATATCGGGTTATGAATATTTATTCTGCCCTGGCCAATCACTGATGGGTTTATGCCAGGGTGTGGACAGAGAAGAGGATAAATATTTGGGGTGACCTCCTAGAAAGGTCCTTGCCTCCAAGGCTTTGCTTGGTGGGGGTGTAAGTATGGAAGGGCCCAGTCTTTGCCTCCCCTCTGCATGGGGGAATAAGCCTGAAAAAGAGGGGATTGTTCTTTTGAAGGCTCTAACCTGGGCCTACACAATCTAAGGTGGCCTGTCCTTGTACAGCTGGTCTGTTTTGGAAGCAAGGACCTTCTAGAAAGGTTCTTTGGCTTCAAGGTTTTGCCCAGTGAGGATATAAATGTGTTAGGGTCCAACCTCTGCCTCCTGTGCACTTGTCTGGAGGTGGAAGCCAGAGTGAAGAAGGGTTTGTACTTTTGGCGGCCTGAACCTGGGCCTACAGAATCTAAGGTGACCTGTCCTTGAACAGTTAGCCTGTCCTTGGGGGCAAGGTCCTTCTAGAAAGATCTTTGCCTCCAGGACTTTGCCTGGCAAGGATGTTAGTGTGGAAGGGTCTCCCAGGCCCATTATCTGAGGGATGAAGCCAAGTGAAGAAGGATTTATACTCTTGGGGGCCTAAACCTGTGCCTACAGAATCTAAACTGGCCTGTCCTTGAACAGTTAGCCTGTCCTTGGGGGTAAGGTCCTTCTAGAAAGCTGCTTGCCTCCAAGGCTTTGCTTGGTAAGAATGTTAGTGTGGAATAATCCAGTCTTTTCCTCCCAAGGCCCATTGCTTGAGGAAGGAAAGGAAGCCAGAGTAAAGAAGGGTTTATTCTCTTGGGGACCTGAACCTGGGCCTACAGAATCTAAGCTGGCCTGTCCTTGGAGGCAAGGACCTTCCAGACAGGTCCTTGCCACCAAGGCTGTGCTGGCAAGGATGTTAGTGTGGAAGGATATAGTCTTTTCTTCCCAATGCCCAATGCTTTAGGGAGGAAGCCAGAATGAAGATGGTTTTGTTCTCTTGGGATCATGAACCTGGGCTTAGAGAACCTAAGCTGGCCTGTCCTTGGAAGCAGGGACCTTCCAGAAAGGTCCTTGCCACCACGACTTTGCTGGCAAGGATGTTAGTGTAAAAGGATCCAGTCTTTTCTTTCCAATGCCCAATGCTTGAGGGAGGAAGCCAGAATGAAGACGGTTTTGTTCTCTTGGGATCCTGAACCTGGGCTTAGAGAACCTAAGCTGGCCTGTCCTTGGAGGCAAGGACCTTCCAGAAAAGTCCTTGCCACCAAGGCTGTGCTGGCAAGGATGTTCGTGTGGAAGGATCCAGTCTTTTCTTCCCAATGCCCATTGCTTGCGGGAGGAAGCCAGAATGAAGATGGTTTTGTTCTCTTGGGATCCTGAACCTGGGCTTAGAGAACCTAAGCTGGCCTGTCCTTGGAGGCAAGGACCTTCCAGAAAGGTCCTTGCCTCCAAGGTTTTGCTTGGTAAGAATGTTAGTGTGGAATAATTTATTCTTTTCCTCCCAAAGCCCATTGCTTGAGGAACAAAGCCAGAGTAAAGAAGGGTTTGTTCTCTTGGGGACCTGAACCTGAGCCTACAGAATCTAAGCTGGCCTGTCATTGGACATCTGGCCTGTCCTTGGAGGCAAGGACCTTCCAGAAAGGTCTTTGCCACCAAGGCTGTGCTGGCAAGGATGTTAGTGTGGAAGGATCCAGTCTTTTATTCCCAATGCCCATTGCTTGAGGGAGGAAGCCAGAATGAAGATGGTTTTGTTCTCTTGGGATCCTGAACCTGGGCTTAGAGAACCTAAGCTGATGGCCTGTCCTTGGAGGCAAGGACCTTCAAGAAAGGTCCTTGCCACCAAGGCTGTGCTGGCAAGGATGTTAGTGTGGAGGGATCCAGTCTTTTCTTCCCAATGCCCATATCTTGAGGGAGGAAGCCAGAATGAAGATGGTTTTGTTCTCTTGGGATCCTGAACCTGGGCTTAGAGAACCTAAGCTGGCCTGTCCTTGGAGGCAAGGACCTTCCAAAAAGGTCGTTGCCACCAAGGCTGTGCTGGCAAGGATGTTAGTGTGGAAGGATCCAGTCTTTTCTTCCCAATGCCCATATCGTGAGGGAGGAAGCCAGAATGAAGATGGTTTTGTTCTCTTGGGATCCTGAACCTGGGCTTAGAGAACCTAAGCTGGCCTGTTCTTGGAGGCAAGGACTTTAAAGTCCTAAAGTCCAGCAGCTCCTTCGGTGGTGCTACACGTTACAGATGATATGAGATTTTTCCATAGACTTTAAGGGTCGGTTTAGGAAGTTAACAGTGCAGAAAATCCTCCCTAACAACCGGCACAGACAGCAGACACGGAGCTGTTTATATTCTGATGTAAGACTCCATTCCTCCCGGGGATACCTGAGATGTCAGCTGAGACCCGAGTTTGTTACTGGAGCTGCAGAGCCCAGCTGTGCCCAAAGCATACACCGCCCTCCACCCAGAACTGCACGGCACCAAGGAACGCAGTGATGTCCAGACCCCACCCGGGGAAGAGGGTCACCTGGGGGTAAGGTGGCAATCGTGTCCCACTTCTTCCTGTCCTGTGTGATATCTCCATCCATTCCAGCCTGTGATTGCATACAGGTACCAAGGGGTTCAAAGCACGTTGAGGTATCAGTTCCCCCACAAGTGGAGACTGGTGGGCTGAGACCTTCCCTGCTTTACTAGATCTTTTCGGGACTCCAACCCCAAGGTAGCTTCTGGCTTTGTTACCTTTATGAGTTCTGGTCCCTCCTGTTCCATTCTCCATATTGTACCCTCTGTCTGGGTATTTGTGAAGAGATGGATATGTCTGACCCAGGGGCGGACTGACCATTTGGAAACTCAGGCACTGCCCGAGGGCCCGGGGTAAGTAGGGGGCCCCATGAGATGCCCCTGGTACCTTTTTCATAGGCTTTGTTGAGTTTGGGCAAGGACACAGGGGCCCCATGATCCCCTATTGCCCGGGGGCCCCATGAGTTGTCAGTCCGCCCCTGGTCTGACCATTTTCTATCTTTTTTGATACTGTATATATTTTACGCTTTTGTACTCGTGAAAAAATTTAAAAAATAAATAGTTTAAACATAAGATAAAATAAATTAAAAATCCAGCAGGAATAGTGAGAACCCCTCTTAAGGAACACAGCAGGTGTACAGACCCTGGAACTCAGCACAGGGATGGTGGGAACCCCTCTTAAGGAACACAGCAGGTGTACAGACCCTGGAACTCAGCACAGGGATGGTGGTAACCCTCATAATAGGCACAGCAGGTGTTCAGACCTGGGAACTCAGTGCAGAGGTGAGAGGAATCCCTCATAACGTTCACAGCAGGTGTACAGACCGGGGAACTTGGCACAGGGATGGTGGGAATCCCTCATAATGGGCACAGCGGGTGTACAGACCCTGGAACTCAGTGCAGAGGTGAGAGGAATCCCTCATAATGTTCACAGCACGTGTACAGACCGGGGAACTTGGCACAGGGATGGTGGGATCCCCTCATAATGGGCACAGCAGGTGTGCAGACCTGGGAACTTAGCACAAGAATGTTGGGAACCCCTCATAATGGGCACAGCGGGTGTACAGACCGGGGAACTCAGCACAGGGATGGTGGGAATCCCTCATAATGGGCACAGCAGGTGTACAGACCGGGGAACTCAGCACAGGGATGGTGGGAACCCCTCATAATGGGCACATCAGGTGTACAGACCGGGGAACTCAGCACAGGGATGGTGGGAACCCGTCATTATGGGCACAACAGGTGTATAGACCGGGGAACTCAGCACAGGGATGGTGGGAACCCCTCATAATAGGCACAGCATGTGTACAGACCCGGGAACTCAGCACAGGAATGGTGAGAACACCTCATAATGGGCACAGCAGGGGTGCAGACCCAGGAATGGTGGGAACTCATAATAAGCACAGCGGGTGTACAGGATGGGAATGGTGAACTCTCCTCATAATGGGCACAGCAGGTGTGCAGACCCGGGAACTCAGCACAAGGATGGTGGGAACTCCTCATAATGGGCACAGCAGGGGTGAACATAACTCAGTGAACTCATCAATACTCAATCTAGCCCCAGCTGCACATCGTTGCTCTGCACTGACTTCCTGATGGTGGCAATGGTGGCCCATGCCTGTGCAATGTGTGCTGGTAAAGCTGCTTATAGTCTGTACCATGGGCACATGTGGCAGAGTGACAACACATTAGAGCAATTGGGAGACGGGGACACAGCATTGTCACTCTATAGGAAGGACCTTCATGGCAGGATCGCCAGGAATTGTATAGTTTTGTGTGTTTAGTGTGGTATGAGCTTTAAATGTCTCATGAGGGTCAGAAAGGCCCCTTGAACCCACCCTGGACCTTTTCTTGTGCCAAAAACACAAACCCTAATGGAACATGTGATCTCCATGCCTGCACTATCATGACAGTCACATGGCTTTGTTGATAATTGGTGATGAATGGCTTTGTTTACAAAACACACAGAGCCAGGGTGTCGCAGCCAGGAGCACTACGTGAGTCAGTCCTCCTTCTAACCAAGATGACGGTCAGGAGAACCTGGGAAACAATCAGTAATAATAATCACGAGACTGGAGGAATCCCTGCTATGTCCCAATTACATGCAAATTGTGTCTGAATCCACGTGTCATCATTGGTCTGCTTGGCTCTCGGTGAGCTTTGTGTATCCAGGTCTGGGCAGTAATCCAGTGTGAGACTTCCTGTAATAAAGACCGCTCGCTGCTGCTCTCCTTCTTTGTGAAGAGTGACAAGTCTTGTCTCCACCCCCTTCTATAGTTTTCTGCAGGCAGCCTGTACTGGGTAGGGCCTGTTGGGCCCCTCCCACAGTTCTGGCCAGGCTATGTACTGTACAGAACTTTGACGATGTCCCTGCTGCTTTTAGAAGGCAATATCTGGGTTTTCAATGACATTTGGCACACACAAAATGGGTTTCTATCATTTGCAGCTGTTAAATAACCTATTTAAATGATTTCTATTGTGCCTGGAGTTCAGCTTTCCATATACTCAGGGGAAATCTCTAGGGTTGGTGTCACCCGGTGCAATAACACTTGGTGACACCCCCTCTGACAATCCCCGCAGAATTGATCGGATCTGCGGATTGAGCATAATGGATCGGAGCAGGGGCAGACTGACCATTCGAGCACTCGGGCACTGCCCGAGGGCCCGAGGTCGGTAGGGGGCCCCATGAAATGCCCCTGGTACCTTTTTTTATAGGCTTTTTTGGGTGTGTTTTGAGTGTGGGTAAGGACACGGGGCCCCATGAGTTGTCAGTCCGCCCCTGGATCGGAGTCCGAACCATTATGCGGAGTGCCGCACCTGATCCGAACCATCCTGTGGGGATCGTCAGCTTTCTTTACAACTTACCTTTTCGTGGAGCGGGTCCGGTGTCACCCTGTATAGGTTGCATGCCGACGATCCCCGCAGGATGGTTCGGATCAGGTGCGGCACTACGCACCAGGTGACACCTACCGAATGGGGTGACACCGGACCCGCTCCACAAAAAAATAAGTTGTTAAGAAAGCCGACGATCCCCACAGGATGGTCCGGATCTGCAGATTGAGCATAATGGATCAAAGTCCGATCCATTATGCTCAATCCGCAGATCCGATCCATTCTGCGGGGATCGTCGGAGGGGGTGTCACCAAGTGTTACCGCACCGGGTGACACCAACCCTAAGGACGGATCCATCCTGCGGGGATCGTCGGCTTGCTTTACAACTTACCTTTTCGTGGAGTGGGTCCGGTGTCACCCCGTGCGGTCGGTGTCACCTGGTGCGACGTGTACCCCCCCCACCTGCCTTGGGACACCACTGTGTGTATATATATATATATATATATATATATACAGTAGTGTATTTAGGTTTTGTGCTGCCCTAGGTAACACAAAAATCGTTTGCCCCCATAGACACCAACCAACACCCCCCCACCCCCTCCAGCAGAGAGAGCCTGACATTGACCAACAACCCCCCTGCCCCCCACCTGGGAGAACATTCCACTACCCCAACTTCCCCCTGGCAATAGAGAGACGCTCATCTTCACAGCTCATCCCCGGGAACGAGAGTCGAGCTCTACATACACCATCAAGCAGCCCGCAGCCTCTCTCAGATCCCACCTGGTTCCCATGGCACGCGTGTCCCTTCTTTCATCCCTTCTTCTGGGGGGAGGCGCTGCCCCCTGAAAAATGCCGCCCTAGGCAAGTGCCTTGTTTGGCTTGTGGTAAATACGCCCCTGTATGTACAGTTGCAAGAAAAAGTATGTGAACCCCTTGGGATTACGTGGAGTTTTGCATGAATTGGGCATAAAATGTGCTCTGAACGTCATCTAAGTCACAACAATAGAAGAACACTTTCTGCTGAACATAATACTACACAAACATTAGATGTTGCCATGGTTTAATTGCACATAACATGTAAACATTCACAGTGCAGGGAGGAAAAAGTATGTGAACCTTTGGACTTAATAACTGGTTGACCCTCCTTTGGCAGCAATAACCTCAACCAAACGTTTCCTGTAGTTGCAGATCAGACCTGCACAACGATCTGGAGTCATTTTGGACCACTCCTCTTCACAAAACTGTTTCAGTGTAGCAATATTCTTGGGATGTCTGGTGTGAATCGCTCTCTTAAGGTCATGCCACAGCATTTCAATCGGGTTGAGGTCAGGACTCTGACTGGGCCACTCCAGAAGGCGTATTCTGTGCTGTTGCAGCCATTGTTTTGTTGAATTACTTGTATGCTTTGGGTCATTGTCCTGTTGCCTCACCCATCCTCTGCGGAGCTTCAGTTGGCGGACAGATGGTCGTACGTTTTCCTGCAAAATGTCTTGATAAACTCTGGAATTCATTTTCCCATCAATGACAACAATCCATCCAGGCCCTGAGGCAGCAAAGCAGCCCCAAACCATGATGCTCCCTCCGCCATGTTTCACAGTGGGGATGAGGTGTTGATGTTGGTGTGCTGTGCCTTTTTTTCTCCACACATAGTGTTGTGTGTTCTTCCCAAACAACTCAATCTTGGTTTCATCTGTCCACAGTATATTTTGCCAGTAGTGCTGTGGAACATCCAGGTGCTCTTTTGCAAACTTCAAACGTGCTGCAATCTTCTTTTTGGACAGCAATGGCTTCCTCCGTGGTGTCCTCCCATGTACTCCTTTCTTGTTTAATGTTTTCCTTATTGTAGATGTGTCAACAAAAATGTTAGTATGTGCCAGAGATTTCTGTAGGTCTTTAGCTGACACTCTGGGATTCCTCTTTACCTCATGCAGCATTCTGCGCGCTGTGCTCTTGCAGTCATTTTTACAGGACGACCACGCCTAGGGAGAGTAGCAACAGTGCTAAACTTTCTCCATTTGTAGACAGTCTGTCTTACCGTGGACACATGAACATCAAGGCTTTTGGAGATACTTTTGTAATCCTTTCCAGCTTCATGCAAGTCAACTATTCTTGATCGTAGGTCTTCTGAGAGCTCTTTTCTGCGAGGCATGGTTCACATCAGACAGTGCTTCTTGAAACCAGTAAACCCAAAACAGGTGTGTGTTTTTTAAGGGCAGGACAGCTGTCAGCAACACATCCAATATCATCACACTGATTGGAGTCAAAGTTGGCTCACTCCTGGCTCCAATTATCTCTGGGAGAAGTCATTAAGCTAGGGCTTCACATACTTTTTCCTCCCTGCACTGTGAATGTTAACATGTTATGTGCAATTAAACCATGGCAACATCTAATGTTTGTGTAGTATTATGTTCAGCAGACTGTGTTCTTCTATTGTTGTGACTTAGATGCCATTCAGAGCACATTTTATGCCCAATTCATGCAAAACTCCACGTAATCCCAAGGGGTTCACATACTTTTTCTTGCAACTGTATATATGGATTGAATGGCTACATCTCCTGGGTGGAAAAATAAATATCAGCCAACTGATCAAGAGGTGACAGTGTGTGAAAAGTAAGAAGAGGGTGGAACATTCAGAAGATCCAAGATTTTACCACTTGGCATACAATTATTTCTGCTGTCTTGTATTCTAGATGCTGTGCACCAGTTTCTGTCAAGCCCCAAGAGACAGAGAGCTTAGAAAACCCATCACCGAAGGCTGGACAGAAAAGGTGACCATGAAACCCCTCCACCTCTAACTGATGTTCTATAATCATTGTATTAACAATATTTGATAAGAAAGGATTCTTTGCTGTAACAGTAGAAATGCTGGAAAACAAGATGAAGGTACAGTTGCGAGAAGGAATACATTTTTTTTGTAAGTGAATTAAAATATAATAATTAAAGTGTTTCTAAACCCACAGCAGTAAAATCAGTCTGTAGATGTAGTAAAGCATTCTTGTTATACTCACCGTGGAGCCTAAGGGGTTAATCCTCTGCATTGTGTAAAAAGGCTGTATGATCCTGCTTTCTCTGAGCCTCCCCTTCTTCCACTTTCCCTAATCCATCTGGTGATAATACAGAGCCCTAGGAGGCACTCTGCACATGCTCAGTTTGGTGTGTATTGCTAGAAAGGTTTTTTTTTTTGGGGGGGGGTGAGTGCATGTTGTCCAGACAGAGGGCCAGGGGTCATGCAGCCTCATAGGACAGACAGAGGAGAATTACATCTCCTACAAGCTTTAACCAGTGCTCAGCAGGACACTGATAGAAGTCACAAGACTACTATATACTGCTGAGAGAAAAGGTAAGGTTAGCAGTTTATATTTACTAAAATAATTGCATTTTCCATGTTGTGTGTACTGTGGGAGACCAGATATAGTGAATGCGGGGTCCGGGGAGACCAGATATAGTGAATGCAGGGTCCAGGGAGACCGGATATAGTGAATGCAGGGTCCGGGGAGACCAGATATAGTGAATGCAGGGTCCGGGGAGAGCGGATATACAGGGTCGGGGAGAGCGGATATAGTGAATGCAGGGTCCGGGGAGACTGGATATAGTGAATGCAGGGTCCGGGGAGACCAGGTATATATGCAGGGTCCGGGGAATGCAATGCAGGGTCCGGGGACCGGATATAGTGAATGTGATGCAGGGTCCGGGGAGACCGGATATAGTGAATGCAGGGTCCGGGGAGACCGGGTGAATGCAGGGTCCGGGGAGAGCGGATATAGTGAATGCAGGGTCCTGGGAGACCGGATATAGTGAATGCAGGGTCCGGGGAGACCGGATATAGTGAATGCCGGGTTCGGGGAGAGCGGATATAGTGAATGCTGGGTCCGGGGAGAGCAGATATAGTGAATGCAGGGTCTGGGGAGAGAGCGGATATAGTGAATGCTGGGTCCGGGGAGAGCGGATATAGTGAATGCTGGGTCCGGGGAGAGTGGATATAGTGAATGCAGGGTCCGGGGAGAGTGGATATAGTGAATGCAGGGTCCGGGGAGACCAGATATAGTGAATGCAGGGTCCAGGGAGAGCGGATATAGTGAATGCAGGGTCCAGGGAGACCAGATATAGTGAATGCAGGGTCCGGAGAGATCGGGTATAGTGAATGCAGGGTCCGAGGAGAGCGGATATAGTGAATGCGGGGTCCGGGGAGAGTGGATATAGTGAATGCAGGGTCCGGGGAGACAAGATATGGTGAATGCAGGGTCATGGATTTAGTAACACTTTAAATAAGTAATTAAAATAATAATAATAATAAAAATATTTTTTTTTTAATAATAATAATGTAATAATGTGTAAATAATAATAATTATATTCGGTTATTAAAATTATAATAATTAAATAATAATAATAATAATTTATTTTTTAAATAATAATAAAAAAATATTATTATTATTATTATTTTTCTAAATATTTTTTATTACTATTATTGTTATTATTATTATTTACATTATTGTTTATTATTAATAATAATAATAATAATATTAATAATAATAATAGCACTTGTAATATTTTAAAATAATGTTTTTTTAAAATAATGTTTTTTTTTCTAAAGAGAAAGTAACAAAACTTTTTTTCCAATATAAACCAGCGCAAAACACAATTAATAAATAAATATAAAATAATTTTCAAAGTCCAGTGATGAAAATAAGTGACCACAATACCGTGACACAAAAATCTAAAAAAATATATATATAAAAGTCCAGTGATCTAAAAAAACTTTCTTAAAAAATATAATAAACTTCAGTGCTTCAAATAATTCTTCCACCATCCACCAGTGCCAAAAACCAACATAAAACCGCACTCACCAGATATTGGTGAGTAAAACACCTTTCAGGATTATTTAGGGCTCCTGGACCCCCTTTGAGGACTCCTCTATTTTCCACCTCAAACCTATGGATGATTCTTCAATCATCTCCTCGCCACACCACCAAGTTCCAAAAGGGAGCAAAAAAAACTAATAGTGTGATACTGTTATGCCCCTTTTATAATTAATTCATGCCAAACCACTCACATTTCAAAGGATAAAAACCAGCATTTATTTAAGGACATCATACGAATTTTCGAGTAACAAATACGAATTTCCACAGCTCCTAGGAACTCACAGCCTTGTATACAGCAGGGTGACAGCCTCCATAACAAACAAACTTTCTTACGAACTTTCTTTGCTCGTCAAAAAAATGACCGCCTGGAACACATCCCTCGGCGTGCGTTCCACTCACCGGAAATGACGTTGAACGTTCGGGGAACCGACCGGAAATACGTCAACGCTTTTCGCCCCACCCACAGGGCGTTTAAACAAAACTTTTTTGCCTGGATAAACAGAGGAATGGTTTTACTGTATGTGTGCCACTGAGGAAATTTTCTTCTACCTCCTGTCTTGGGAAACAACAGGAGATCAGAGGAATCTCTCCAAAGTGAAGGTAAACCACCTTTGAGACAGATGTCACCAAAACAGATGTCCCCATTGAAGATTTCCTCTCTCATCCTGTTCCCACAACAACTCCAAAATATTGGATTTGCCATTACTTTTTGTATGGAAGATAATGCTCAACACTTTCTGTCCCAGTAACAGGGCAAGATGCTGGATCTGGTTCTGGGTGTGAAGATAATTCCATACTGAAGGGCATTGTGACTCAAGCTAGGCAACTTTCTGGCACCAAGGAGCCTAAAAGCTGCCACAGCTGTGAAAAAAAGCTGAGCATCAAAACACAGGTTTGGGAGTCCAAAAGTATTTGCCTCATCATATAAGGCTGGCCATACACTATACAATTTTCTGCCCAATTTCCTTTAGATTTACCTTCAACTGTGTAGTGCAAGGGCTCGCCTGATTGGATACAATTGAAAGTGTTGTTAGGTTTGACCTCCTATTATATGGTTTTTGGTAAATCTAAACCAAAAATCTCAAGAAAATTGTATAATGTATGGCCAGCCTTAGTCGAGTGGTAACAAGCCAATGTGCAGGGGCGGACTGACCATTTGGAAACTCGGGCACTGCCCGAGGGCCCGGGGTCAGTAGGGGGCCCCATGAGATGCCCCTGGTACCTTTTTCATAGGCTTTTTTGAGTTTGGGCAAGGACACGGGGCCCCATGATCCCCTATTGCCCGGGGGCCCCATGAGTTGTCAGTCCGCCCCTGCCAATGTGTTTTGGGTGCTACAACATTGCCCCTGTGTCAGGGCTTCAACAGCCAGGTGGTTAAGCAGCCAACTTCTGAGCTGAATCATTTAACCCATCTGAGTCCATTACATTTTTCACACCAGCACTTGATGCCTTTATGAAGTGGAAACGTAGCTTCCAAAATGTGTTGGCTTGTTACCTTTATGATTTCCTCCCCTCCTGTTTATTGCTAGTTCGTTCAGGCCTAGCTGTTTCTTCCATGTTCCCTCAGTCAGTGTTTGTTTCTAAAGGTAAATTTGTTTTGTTTTTTTTGCAAACACAAAGGTTATAAAAGTATACAATGTACCAAAACTAAAATAAAGAGAGAAGAGCAAAAAGTAAATGAACTCCACTCAATAGAGTCTATCTATCCATTCAGTCGTATCCGACCCTCGGCGATTGCATGGACTGTCACTCGTAAGCGACTTTTTCCATGAATTCTCTTAGCATTTATTTTTACAGGGTAGGTTGCCAGGTCTTTCCCCAACCCCCACCATGTAGGAGATCCCACATGGCCAGGGATGAAACTAGGACAATTTAGACAGGAGCCAAGTTATCTACCAGCATGTCTTTGGAGTGTGGGAGGAAACTGGGGTACCCGGAGGAAACCCACGCGAACACAGGGAGAAAATGCAAACTCCATGCAGGAGGCGCCATGGTTGGGAACTGAACCCATGACCCAATTAATGCAAGGCAGAAGTGCTAACCACTAAGCCACTGTGCCGCCCACTCAATATAGTACTGCCATACAGAGCACAGAATATATGTCCTAGATTTCCAGCAACACTTGGTATGTAGTTCAATCAATCCGAGTGCAATGGATTGGTCGTAATACCCCTATAGCGCATAGCTGCATAGCATCACATACAGATATGTCTCTTAGTCTGATGGTATTGCGGCTTGTATATTTAACCAAGGGGACCAAACCTTTTTAAATTTCTTAGGGCTCAGTCAGTGTTAGTTATTTGCAGTGATTACGCATGCTAAAGTCATTGTCTTCTTACACTTCAAAAGACTGAAAAAACATAATCTACACTGCAATTAGCTTAACCACTTGACCTCCAGAGGATTTACCCCCCTTAATGACCACGCCTCTTTTTGCTACTCGGCGCTGCACTAATTCAACTGATAATTGCGCGGTCATGCAATGCTGCACCCAAACGAAATTTACGTCCTTTTTTTCACACAAATAGAGCTTTCTTACGGTGTAATTTGATCACCTGTGCGCTTTTTATTTTTCACGCTATAAACAAAAAAAAACGCCAAAAATTTTGAAGAAAAACAATATTTTTTATTTTCAGCTATAAAAAATATTTAGTAAACTCAAACTTGGTTATAAAATTTAGGCCAAAATGTATTCTGCTCCATGTTTTTGGTAAAAAAAATCCCAATAAGTGTATATTGATTGCTTTGTGTGGAAGTTTGTAGCGTCTACAAACTATGGTATAAATACTGCAATTTTTTTGCTATACAGCGCTGCGCTAGTTTAACGGACAATTGCGCGGTCATGCAATACGGTACATAAATGAAATTTACATCCTTTTTTTCCCCACAAATTGAGCTTTCTTTCGGTGGTATTTGTTTGCCTATGCGGTTTTTATTTTTTTGCGCTATAAAAAAAAAAAGGCTGACAATTTTGAGGAAAAAAAACAATATTTTGGACTTTTTGCTATAAAACATGTCCAGTAAAAAAAAAAATGCAAAAATCAAATTTAGTCATAAATTTCAGCCAAAATGCATTCTGCGACATGTCTTTGCTAAAAAAAAAAACCCAATACGTTTAAATTAATTGGTTTACGTGAAAGTTATAGCGTTTACAAATGGCGGGAAAGATACTGGGATTTTTAGGGTTTTTTTTATACTAATAATGGCGGCGATCAGCGAATTATGGCGGCGATCAGGGACTTATGGCAGCAACCAGCGACTTATAGCAGGACTGCGGGACTGCGACGGACATTCTGACATTGGGGGGTACTGACTTGGGGTCACTGACATCCCCAAAAACACTAATACAGTGATCAGTGCAAAAAAAAAAAAACTGACACTGTACTAATGGCACTGGGGAGGAAGGGGTTAACTTTATTTAGCAGGGAAGGGTTATAGGAGTGAGGGGGAGTGTTTTACTAGGGAACGGGGGTGTGTACTGGGCGGGACAAGGCTGATCGAGAAAGTGAAACTATTCTTTCTCGATCAGCTCAATCCTCGAGCTGACAGAGAGGTGAGAGACAGCACAGCTCTCTGTCACCGTTTACCGCCGATCGCCGGGACATAGCCGCTAATGAGCGGCTGTGAACCGGCAACTGACATCTGCGGGCGGTGATCCACAGGACAAATAGGGCGGCAGCGCGCCTCGCGCGCGCCCCCTATTTGTTTACAAAACACACGTTTTTAAAACGTGGTTTTGCCTGTGAGTGCCGCCCTGCCACCGTATATGTACAGTGGCTGGGTGGCATGCGGTTAAGAAAAGCTGCATTTGATTCAACTTCTGTATCTGAAGAGTTAAACTGCCTGTGGATGGTGCCAAGTCAGCAAGTGATCATATCGTCCAGACAGACTGGGTCTAAGAAGGCATTTCAATGCATAAAGCAGCATATGAAACAGAACATAATGAAATAAATACTTTTGGATAATATATTCAAACCTCTAATATAATATAACAATATAATACATTAACATATGCCCTTTCTAATTCATGCAGGGCAGGTAAAGAAGGCCAACAATTGGCAGGAAACTCTGAAGATACAAAGAAGAAGGTCAGGAGACGGAAAGACTCTCTGAGGGTGGCCAAGGTCTTCCCCGAGTATCCTGGCCAGCTGCTGTCGGAGCCTGATACCCTGATAGAGATACTACAGAACAGAACTGTGTACAAGGTGTACAGGAAAGTCGTACAAGAAACAGAGGATCCCCAGACCTTGAAGGCTCTGGAGGTACTTCATGCTCTGCAGAGTGACAAAAGTGACAGAAAAG